TTTTCGTAAAGTATTTCCACGGCGTCTTGCACTGAGGCCGGTGCTCGTGTTCTCCAGCTGCCCTCTCTTAAACTCACTCTGGCTTCTGTGTAACCACTTTCCTGGATTTCTTTCTTTCCTTTAGTCACGACAAATTTCCTAAAGGCCCTGTGTCTCATGTATGTGGCATCTCCTTGATTCACTCCTCTTCTCCACGACGGCGTGTGAGTTGTTCTCTCAGTTTATCCTCTCTTTAACCCCCCGTTGCTGGTGGAACTCTTCGCTGTGCCTGTAGAGAAGAGCAGAGCAGTGTTTTGGGGAGCTCAGGGCTCCCCTGGCACCGGGACCTGCTCTGTGCCCAAGATGCTGTGATGAAGAGCTGGGCAGAGGAATTGGAGGAGGCCCTCGATACCAGTTTTGGGGAGATGCTTCCTCCAACCCACCTTTCGGGGTGGCAGAGGGGGCTCTTCCCGATCCCTCCGATGTCCCTCGCTCTCCCCGGCGTCCTGCGGTGACGGGTCGCTCCCATCGACCGTGGCTGGACACCAGGTGACATCAGGGGACAAGGTCCAGGCCGGGGAGAGGGGGGTGGCACCGGGACGTCCTGAGCCGGGCAGCCCTGACCCCCACGCTGCGCCATGAGGCTGTGGCTCCTCTGTGGCTTCGTTGCCACCGTGGCCCTCGTGGCCGTGGCCGGAGCCGACCACGGCAACTCCAAGAAGGTGGCGCGGGGAAGAGAGGTTGGTCGTGTGCGGAAAGGGGGGTAAATTTGGGGAATAACGGGGCTGGGAATGGGGGAGAATGTGGGGAGAGGGCCATGGGGAGGCGGAAACCTCCCCTGGCGCGGCTCTGGCACCCTGGGGGGCAAACCTCATCCCCAAGGGTTACGAGGCTCTGTCACCAGCACCCCGCACCATGTGGGGACAGGCCAAATCCTGGGAAACTGGCTTTTCCAGCTTCCCCATTCCCTGTGCTGCTCTGGTGGGGCTGGGGATGGTGTTGGGCCACCATCATGGTGGGGGAGGCTGCTCTCTACGGTATGCTCTGCCAGGGCTCCTCTTGCAGCCCCAGAGTGGGGCCAGAGGAGGCCACGGAGATGCTGGGAGGGCTGGAGCCCCTCTGCTGGGAGGGGGGGCTGAGAGAGTTGGGGGGTGCAGGCTGGAGAAGAGAAGGCTCCAGGGAGACCTTGGAGCCCCTTCCAGTCCCTCAAGGGGCTCCAGGAAAGCTGGGGAGGGACTCTGGATGAGGGAGGGGAGCCAGAGGAGGAGGGGGAAGGGTTTGACCCTGCAAGAGGGGAGATGGAGCTGAGCTGTGGGGAAGAACTTGTTTGGTGTGAGGGTGGTGAGAGACTGGCCCAGGTTGGCCAGAGAAGCTGTGGCTGCCCCATCCCTGGAGGGGTTCAAGGGCAGGTTGGAGGGGGCTTGGAGCAACCTGGGCTGGTGGGAGGTGTCCCTGCCCAGGGCAGGGGGTGGCACTGGGTGGTTTTTAAGGTCCCTTCCCACCCAAACCATTCTGTGACTCTTTGGTGATTCTATGACCAGGAGCCAAAGTGACCCTGGGTGGCCGTGGGCTCTGGCAGGGACGGTAACGACCCTTCCCTTCACAGGGGACGCGCGTCGGGGGCCATCGGCGGCACAGACCCTGTTCGGGGTGTTTCTCCGTCCTGAGTGAGGTGAGCTGGGCCATGGCTGCACCGTGGGGGCCGGGGGAAGCTGGATGGGGGGAAAGGAGGACACTTGGTGCCACCAGCTCCTCAGTGTCACCCCGAGGAGCTCCTCCACCTTCATCTCTCCCTGCAGGAGTCACGGTCCATGTCCTGGCACACTGGAGAAGACGATGAGGTTCAGCCAGGCAAGAGGGTATGTATGGAGCCAGCGGTGAAGGGTCTGGAGGTATGGAGGTTGAAAGGTCTGGAGGTGCCACAACACACCAGAAGGTGTTGGGGGGGTCATCCAGCCATGTCCACTCACCAGGACAGGCTGGTTCCTGGGCCACCCCATTGCCCAGGTCTGGGCATGACAATGACACTGGTGAGGGGTCTTGTGAGGAGCAGCTGAGGGAGCTGGGGGTGTTCAGCCTGGAGACAAGGAGCTGAGGGGAGACCTTCTCGCTCTCTCCAACTCCCTGAAAGGAGGGGGTAGCCAGGGGGGGGTCAGTCTCTTCTCCCAAGGAACAGGTGATGGGACAAGAGGAAACAGCCTCAAGTTGCTCCAGGGGAGGTTTAGGATGGATATTGGGAAAAATTCCTTCCTGGAAAGGGTTGTGAAGCATTGGCAGAGGCTGCCCAGGGCAGTGGTGGAGTCCCCATCCCTGGAGGGATCTAAAAGCCGGGCAGACGTGGTGCTGAGGGACATGGGTGAGTGGTGGGTTTGTCAGATGGTTGGACTCGATGATCTGAAAGGTCTTTTCCAACCTCAAAGATCCCGTGATTCTATTCTATGACGCAGGAGGGAGCCGGGCGGGAGGACAAGGATCCGGCACGGCCCCTGAGACCCCCCCGCAGCCTCCTGCTGCCGCCACAGGTAACGGCAGAGCCCCGGTGGGACCCCTGCCCGGGGACGGTGGTGAGACCTGGGGACGGGGACCCCGGCCATGGTGGGGACCCCCCCAGCAGCCCCCTCTGTGTCTTGCAGGAGGCGCTGAGCATCCGCACGGTGTGGAGAGGAGGGAACCGGGGGTCCGGTCGCCCCCGGGACGTGCCATGGGGTCCTCCTGCCCCCTCCCAGCTCTGAGGCTGTGCCCCCACACCCAGGGCACAAATGAACCTGTGCCCATGCAAGCTCAGCCCCGCTGCCCCCCTCCTGCACCCCCAAAGTGCTTTTTTGGGGGGCAATTCCCCCTCTTCCCGCTTTGCCAAGCCACCAAATAAAGCCGATGAACCAGAGGGAGTTGGGTGTGTTTTGGGGGGCGGGGGGGACACAGGGGGTGCCCAGGGGGGTGTGTGCCTGTCTCAGCCCCCCCCCCAGCCACCTCTCCTCCCCGGGGGTCTCCTCACCGGTGCTGCCAGGTGTTATGTTTTGAGGAACTCACAAGAATTTATTGTCATTTAGACAATTATTCTCTCACCCCGTGACCCCTCCCCACCCGGGAAGGAGAATGGGGGAAAACAAGGAAACCCAAGGGTTGAAATATAAATGGATTTGAGAGGATAAGACTAAATAATTGGCATTAGTAACACTAAAGAACCAATATTGATCCCAATACCATTATAAAATAGAGAAAGATTGTCCTCAGCCCGTTCCACCAGCAGGGACAGCCCATGGGGGACACGTGGCTTCGGGAGGAAGGGAGGGCTCATGGCTCCGGCACGGGGGCAAGGAATTCTCAGGGTGGCAGCCATCGAGAGGGAGAGAGAAAGACAACTCAGCAAACTTTCTAATTTCTATAGAATCTGACGTTTATGGTATGAAATAACCCCGTTGGCAGCCTGGGGCAAGTGCCTGGTTCTTGCTCCTCCTTGTCCCCGCTCCTGGGAAGCTCAGAACCACCGAGACCTTGAAACCCCCACCCCAGAGCTGGCTGTAAAGTAAATATTGTCACCAATTCAGACACCGGCGTCTTCTAAAAGTGCAGTTTTCCCAAGAATTGGTAGAGAAATTAGTCCTGAGTCTAAGAAGGGACTTTAGGACTCTGGATTAGTCCCGTCTCCTGTCCTGAGAAGCTGTTGGGCTCTGGAGGTGGGACGCGTCAGGGTCCGTCCGCTCCATCAGGCACCGTGTGCCGGGATGGGGGGACATCACGGTCGGGAGGGGCCGACCCACGGGACCCCCATGGTTGTGGGGAGCATCCTACCGAACCGGCTGAGCCACGTGGAGCTTCCCAGCCCTCCCCGAGAGCACGGAGGGGTCAGCGGCAGCGCCACCATCACTGGTTTAATGCAGGGATGGGGTGGGGACACGTACCCGTGGGGGCTGTCGGGGGGTGTCCCTCCGTGGTCCCTCTTCTTGGGCGAGCTCACCCCACCACAGCCACCGGGTGACACACCAGAGCCTGGTGGGGACAGTCTGTGGGGTCCAGGGGTCCGTGGCACTGGAGGGTCGGGGATTGGTGGCACCAGGGGACGGGGACAGACAATGGTGTCCTGGGGTCGGTGGCCCTGGGAGGGTCCAGGGGGAGCCTGTGGGAGGTGAGGTCGGTGGCACCAGGGGATCTGGGACAGTAATTGGGGTCCAGGATTGGTGGCACCGGGGGTTTTGGGGGTCGGTGGAACCGGGGGACCGGGGCAGTCTATGGGGTCTGGGGTTGGTGGCACCGGGGCTTCTGGGGTTTGGTGGCACCGGGGAACCGGGGTTGGTGGCACCGGAGATTCTGGAGATTGGTGGCACCGGGGGGAGTCAGTGGGGTCCGGGGGTCGGTGGCCCCGGGGGAGTCTGTGGGATCGG